CAGAATGTCGGAGATACACCGTAGCTACCTCCAGGCCTCTCCATGCTACCCTTTACCTTGTCCACTAGAGCATACTATGTTGCATGTATCAAACTCAGGAGAGGCACTGGTGTCCAACAGTGAGCAAGTAGTATTGATAAAGACGAAATACAAGGGTACGGACCTGGTGTCCAACAGTGAGCAAGTAAGGAGACGCTCTGTGGACACCAGGGTTATGTAGGTGAAAAGAAATAAGGTTTGGGAACTGTACAGTAGCTCGGAGTTCTCCATAGTAAGCCAAAGAGTAGAGAAAGGCGAAATAGGGGCAAAGTCGCGAGATACTGGAATAGGAAGGTGGTGAAGGTATAAACAAGACACAAGTAGAAGTATACCTCAACACACAATAGCTGAGTGGTTGCAGCGCTCTGGGCACTACCACAAGGCTGTAGGTTCAACCCACACAACAGGCAAGTTTTACCTCTTTTTACCCAAGTGTCCTGGAATGCTGGAAAGTGTACCAAGGCCACTGGGCTGCTGTGCCAAGGGCATAGGAGCGATGCAGAGGTGCTGGGCGCACTCTGACAGCATGTCTCTGACATCACTCCTTAGGCCTCCCATTATCCTTGTGTCTTCATATCATATCCCCTTGCCCTATTCCTTTGTCACTACTTCAAGGTATCCATGTTGTTAGCGATGCCATTCCTTCAGCCACCTTTGTCATACTCCAGATGCCCTCCAACCTACTTTGTACCTACAGTACTTACCCTTTACCCTTCCTTGATGACTTCATAGTTTACTAGTAGTATATAAGCCTTCCTGTACTTACCATAGTTCTCCAGTCTGAATATTGACTATGATTACACCTCTAGTCCATTCTTCTGGCTCAATTACACCTTTCTGATCCTCATCTCTATTCTCTTTGCACTTTTATGTGTCATTTATGCTCTAGACTTCTTAGTCATAAACTCCAAGCCAACCCCATATCATCTCCAGGACACTCCGTTCCACTTTCAGTCACTTCTAGTCCTCTTCCACATCCTTCTGCCCTCCTCTGGATGTCTTCTGTGACTTCCACTCCACTCTGACGTGCTTAGCATGCACCAGGACTTGTACTTGGGACTTGCACCTCAATGGTATGGGTGGTTGAGAAGCAGAGATATTTCATTAGTGTATTTTACCAATTTTTGAAGTCATACCTGTTCTTGGTCTCTCTCTATATAGCCAAGCATCTGCAAAACTTTTCTGTCCTGAATTGGTGTGCTGCGCTTCTCAGTCACTTGCCTAGGCCATTAGGCCCCCCTTGGAGCAAGAGCATCTTTGTTTATGCAGATTAACAGGCTTGAGTGAACAACAGTCTTCACCCCTTATTTATGGTGTAACATCTTGTTAACCCAACTGCCAGTACAGTATCATGATGTTGCTTGAGTGTGGCTGAGTTTACAATGGTGCTTCCCTCCTCTCAACATGTCAAGCAGTGCAACAGCCCAGCTGCCATAGATGAGAGGCCCATATATGCCAAATATGTCCAGGCCAGCATGCATGCCCCAGTCCAAAGCCAAGGTACCATACTTGCTGTGCTATCAAATCCAACATCATTGTGCTTCCATGCCCACTAAAAATAGAGTGAAGGGTATTGGTGCCAATGAATGGGAGAAATGGACGAACATATTTACAGGCTGGCTTTGGGGCAGCTGATTTTGAATTTTGGTGACCTGTCTTTTGTTCTCCCTCTTCCATCATGTCCAAGGAGTCAAAGCCATTGTTGACAGAGTTCAATGAGACCTGTATGCACTTCCTGTAATATATGTCTATCTACTTAATAAAGCCTATGCTGTCGCGATCACTCACGACAGCATGACTCATCATGACCATTCACAATTACTTACATTTCACGCATTGTCGCTGAAGTTGTAGCTTCACTTCTTGGTGCAATAGATTACGTGACCTGGCTCTAGCTATCACTATTACCGGTCACGTGCTCCTTCTCTAGAACATTCTATAGGACATCATGCGTGCGTCATCAACGTGTCATACATGACATCATTACCTACGTCACTACTTTACCATAAGTAGTACTACACAACACAGCATGGTCTGTGCGCACACTATCATTACCATACGTAGCCACTTGTTTGCCTTACGCAAACAAGCCTGTACAGATAGTCTGAGCAATCCATGCCCCAAGACTCTAAGTGAGTTCTTGTGGGAATACCTCTCAAAGCTACACCTAGTCTTGCCACGTCGGCGAGCAGTCAACTCCTCCATCCCTCTTGTTGTCATCCTGTACAGGGCTTTGTTGTCTACCTTGTCGTCAGTTCTGTGTGGTTGGTTCTTGGGGCTTGCGCCTTGAGAGTCGCTCACATATGCCAAATGGATTCAAGGAGCTGATGTTTTGGCCAGGGTATCAAATGCTAGGTCAGATAACAAGCTGCAATCTATTGTCAAAGATGCAACTAGTGTCCACCCACCCTCAGTGTCACAAGTGTGCACCCGCATACCCTAGTCCAAAGTACTAGTAAGTATCTACACAGTCTCCTATAAGAGGGACTGCCTTTAAGATTATAACCGTACCATATACAGAACCATAGTAATGGGGTGGAGTGGAATGGAGGTGGAGTGTAGGCAACCAGAGGTAACGGAGGGGAACAAAACAGGACCAGAGGGAGAGAGAGAGAGATTTCTATATTAATATCCCACGTCAAACGCGTGGTCACGTTAAGTAGTGGCTATGTGTCGGTGTAGGGTAATCTAGGTGTGGTTTGTAAGTGTATCAATGTAGGAGGTGTAGTGTTCTAAGTATGTGCGTCTGTTGAAGGGTAATAATGTAGCGGCGTTCTGGCCATGCTGGATGTCTAGCTGATTAGAGCGGGAAGTATGTACGAATAAGAATAAGAGGCGAGGCGGGTGATTATAGAGCGAGCAGGAGAAATAGGGAGAAAGGGAGACATTAAGGAATATGGCGGGGTGACCCGAGGCGTCTACTGCGTGGCCAAGGGGTCCTCATTCTCGTCGTGTTCTAATGTGGTCTTTTTGAAGGCCGTGGTTTTCTTCAGGAATTTGGCAAGGCCCTCGAGTCCAGCCTTGGTTCCGAGTATGTTGGTGAGGGAGATGTCCTCGCCTGGTTTGTGGAGGTGATGGCGTGCGTGGTCGTACATTGGGCAGTGTTCGAGGATGTGTGATTGGGACTGGTAGTGAGCGCCGCAGGGGCAGGACTTGGGCTCTGACGGGACGAACGTGGCGTAGTATTCGCCTGAGAAGCAGTGGCCGGTACAGGACCAGAGGGGAATGGAGGTGTATGTAGGTATAGCATAACAAGTGATATAACGAAACAGGAGTACAGGAACTTAACCGGAGTGCTCTGAGGCTGCAGAGCTGAAGTACTGGAATACTGGAGTAGCCTCAAAGATGAGCTGTAGGCTCAGAGTTAACATGGATTTGACACGGAGGAGTACAAACAATTATGGGAGGATATGGAGAAGTCTGGAGTGGGGACTGGAGTATATGAAAATCAAAGTTGATATTCAGACTGAAGTACACTAACTAGCCTTGACAGAAGGGTTTATATACTACAGCCTAAGTATGAAGTCATAGTAGTTGGGTGAAGGGGAGTGTAGTTCAGCTATGAGGTACGGAAGTAGGATGAAGGGTATGACGTAGGAGGTGTTCACTATGATATCAGAAACACAAGGAAACAATGTGAGAATGACATAGAAATGTCAAAGAGGATGATACATGAAGTAAAGGTGAGGATATTGTTAAGGAGAACATACTTGGGACATATAGTGAGGTTGAGGGTTAATGATGTAGATCCTTTGGAGGTTCTGGAGACACTGGAATTGACACAACTGAGTGGAGGTGTCCGGAGGCAAGTGTAGGTGGGCGAGCACAGCAAGGTTGCACCAGTACTCAACCTCCTCGTGAGCCTGCAAGGGGAAGATGCCACCAGCACCCAACTCTCTAGTTTCTGCAGCGATGAAGATTGGGGGCGGGTGGACTGTCGACACTGTTAGACTTGGTGTCCATACACTCCTGCAAGTTCGGAGTGGGTGGCGAGGAGGGGCCAGCGGCCCCTCCTCCATTAAGGATGTTAAAAGACATAGGGGTAGAATAGGGGTTTAAGATTTTGGTTACGTTTTGCCTAATGTGAGATCCTACTCAATGTGATTACTCTCAGGCATCTGGAAGAATGGCAGGTATTTGTCATTGGTGGAAGATTTTTGTACTGTATCCATATTCACCAAGCAATTGATGGTACATAAAAGGAGAAACTGGTGACCTTGTGGTTGTCCCTGGCATGTCATCATCTGATTCACTAACAAGGGAAACTAACATCTTATTCCAGAAAAAGGGTAATAATGTCACAGTTGAGGATACTGAACCCAGATCCCACTTATCAAGAGTACTGCAATATTAAGAAGCACAAGTTCAAGTTGTTTGTAATAGCAAACTGGTAGGAACTAAGGGCCACAGATGTCATTATCAACCAAAGCCTCTCCTCACTTCTGCTGCATCATTGGCATCATATGTAGCACATTTGGATCTCCTCAGTATTTTATCAACAAGATCAAGCACATACCCACAACTTCAATGCAGTTTCAGAAAATCCCAGAATATAAGCTCAGGATTGTTGCTCATACATTTGGGTGTGCCCTGACCTATCATATATGGAAGTTGCAAGCCATAAAAGAGCCTCTGAATCAGACACTGACAGTATAAGCAGCACTTGTTCTTTGGAGATACTCAGTGGGTCTATGCATATTAATTGGTGGGAAGTCAGAAATTTGTACCAGGATCACTAAGGGGGCGTATTATTCAAAGAGTATGTGCAATACAATACCTTAAAACTCCCATGCTTGCAACAAGATTGAGTGTTGTAGTATTAGTTTACATGCTAGTTTAGCTCACCCACAATGACTTCCATTACATTCTCATAAATGAATGAGCATTGTCCAGCTACTGATGCCAATCTCCTTGCCACTTTCAGTTTTTTTGGCCTTCTCATGGAGGCCTTTATGATATTACTGCCCTGCTGAGGGGTGTTTGCCAAGTGTGTTTTCTTTCTGATGGTGCTTAGTGGAATGGACCAGTTTGCATTTTTTTTAAAAAAAATCCATGGTTTTATTGGCATGTCCTTCTCATGGAAAAAATTGGGCCCATAGTTCATAAGCAGCTCCTCCCCAGCAATAAGGCCCCTTGCTGATTATATATGCTGTCAGACTGGAAGGCCATCATATGTATTAAACATGGGTACATGCATATATGCCAACTTTCTCATTGCCATTGACATGCATTACTATCAACCACTATGCTGACTGTAGCCATTATAAGGTTGACACAAAGTTGCTGGGCACTATTGTACAAACAGAAGAAAGAACACCTTTGCTCACCACAAATATAACTAATATTGAACTATACACCATTGCTGTCATACCCACTACACCAATAACAATTGCAAGGCTCACAATTCTAACTTCACATTGTCTGGACCATAAATTGCAAACCAAGGACATCCATCAAGGTCTGGGCTGTACATTCAAGCATTGTACCAGTGAGGCTTTTGGCTGAGAAACTTCTTCAGGTGCACAATCCTTGGGTTTTTGGAGCTGGGCACCATGTTGGGCAACTTGTTATCCAAGGTCAGGCTGGTAGTCACAAATGTGATGATCCAGTCCCTCAGGACACTATTTTTACCCATTACCACTTGCCCAAGTGCTGTGGCTGGACCTACCCATTGACCCTCAGTGTCAAACCAATGACCTTGGAGCTGTTGTATGATGCAATAATGAGGGTTGTACTGGTTGTTTATATTAGTGGTGACATTGATTCCATTTCTTTTGGCTAGCTTGTTCAACCAAAGTTCAGGAATGGCAATACCAAAGTATTGATATGGCATCCTAGGGCAATTCAGCATGCAGGAGGTTGAATTGAAACACAACCCACCTAATCAACAAGCACAAAAAATAAAAACAGTGGACAAAGGCAGGCAAGTGAGGTTCTAGCTTGAATGGGGGTGACAGATGATGATGGAGGTTCCTCAGAAGTGAGGTGCTTTATATATATGATGTTTAATAAGTTGACATGTGTCAGGTGCTAACTTGAATAGAACCCTGTCCTTTGCAGCACAGAAGTTTTTTGATTAAGTACCCCACCTTTAGGCCTCAGCAAGAGCAGCTTATCCCAACCACTGCAACTGCATCTTGTGTCCCCCTTTCTAAAGGTAGTGCACTACTTGTACCAACAGGTGAGCCCCTCTTTTGAAGATGGTATTAGTAATTTATCACACTCACTATATATTTCTAGGCATGGAGGCTACATCTTCTCAAGGCCACCAGGTGGGCTGAGATCTCCATACACTCAGTGCTTTATTATTATTATTATTATTATTATTATTATTATGATTCCATTAACGTCCGTCGGGGTTGAACACCCCACGTCAGACGAACTCTACAACTGCAATCATATGTAAGTAGCAGGCCCATTGCCCCTCCCTCCTCGGCTCCAAGGGGTCCTGACAACGGCTAGTAAGAGCCTTGCCAGTCAGTCCGTTCCTTTTGGGTTTCCCCTGGCCACCGAGTCTAAGAAGAGAGTCTTCTCCATGTGATCCTCATAACATGCATAGTGGAGAGTGTCGTGGACACATCTCCGGGGGTGGTTTGTGGTGTGGTCATAGCCTGCTATGCCCTCCTTGTGCTGCCTCCAACTGAGTCCCTTCTGCCAATCCAAATATCTTGCCACCCTGATTCGGCAACCACCTGCAGTCGGCCCACGATCTCTTGAAGGTAAGGCAATGGGAGGTATCTATACCTCACCTAGTATTATTTGCCTGAATATAATTTACGATGTACCAAGCCAAACGTGCTCTTCAAACAACCTGTACGGTTGATGAACTTTATTAACTCCTCGATACCATCCGTGCTGTTGAGTAGCACTGCCTCAGAGTACGTGTCACGGCCCAACACACACTCAGTGCTTTATAGACCATATCCCTTCAAACAGCCATTGTATGGTCATTTGCAGTTGTATATAACTCCAATCCTTAAAACATGGAGTTCCACTGGTATCACCCTGGGGTGCTTTTTTTCACCATCTCTTTTCAGAGGTACACTCCTGACCTTGAGGCCAAGGGATCCCATTTCATCAAGGGACTTCTGTTCATCCTTCACAAGTTTCCTCATCACTCTAATAACCCACATACAAATGAGGATGAGGTCAGATGTGCTTGGCAGCCCAAGTCATCTGATTTGTCTGCCTTTACTGTGTCAATTAACAATGCCTTGGGAAATATCACTGACTTTGCCATTGTCTATGCCTCAGTGTCTGGGTCTACAGATTCACTTTTCTGCTGCTTTGACTTACAGCTGAAGGTCAGGGTGTTGAGAGTTGTGGTGCTCATTGAGATAAAAAGGGCTCATTTGTGTTATACCAGGAGCCATGCTCAGCTTCACATGACAATGAAACCTTATATGAAAGAAGTGAAGACAAAGGTTTTGGATCACCGGACTTTTGAATTCAAAATCAGCTGCGTATAGACAGCAAAATATTAAATAATCCTCCATGTATTATACATGCACTTGCTCTTGGAGACAATTTTGAGTAGATAGCTGATATACCACACATCCACCACCTATCAACCCTCCTATAAAACTTATGAACACGTGCAATGCACATATAGATTATATACATGGCTCAACTTGGTTGTTGACATACCTTAATGCAGCGATACACATCTCCTATGTTTCCAACAACATCTCAATTGTCTTCTATGTGAATTGAGTTGGACACTAACCATACTTCCTGATCGGCATCAGTCGTGACCAGGCCTGATTTTGACATATCTCAATGTGGAAAATAACAAGCACAGTCTCTTATGTTTCAATTGGTATTTGAATTGCATTCCAATTTGAACAGGGCACCAAAAATTCATTTTCTATGATATAACAGACAGTGGAGTACAATTGTATGGAGTGATATGTTGAAAAGCACTCATGCCCCAGTGGGACTCACTGACAACAAACAAAAACAAAGGGTACTGAGCAACAACATGAAGGGGAGGCACGTCAAACAGCAAGTTTGTTTTGTGGAGGCATCTAATGAAGAGTCGACTGGCTTTCAACTTTGTCAATGATAGTCCGGTTTTTTCAGCTTTAATGCTCCAGTTATTGGAGGTATAATGGTCTGAGTATTTCAGGTACAAATACAATGCTCCGGCCATTGCAGGTATAATGCTCTGGCCATTTCAGCCACAATGCTCTGGCCATTTCAGGTATAATGCTCTGGCCATTGCAGCTACAACACGCTGGTTGTTGAAGCCGTCCTGCTCCGGTTATTTTAGCTATAATGCTCCTGTCATTTGGACCACCATACTCTGGCCACTGCAACCACAATAAAGTAGTTACCACAGGTATAGCACTCCGGTCATTTGAACCACAATACTCCGGCCACTGCAACTACAATACTGCAGTTATTACATGTGTAATGCTCCAGTTACTGTAGCTACAATGCTCTGGTTATTTTAGACAAAAAAATC